TTGGGGGGGGGGGGGGTGTTTTTATGGTTTGTTGATTTTGTGGGGGTTTTTTCGGTCTGTTTTTTAGTTGTTTGTTTTCTTTTTGTTTTTCGGGGTTTAGGGTTTAGGGCAATCCTACACCCTGCAGCCCGAAGCCCCCGAACCACCGCCCCCCCCCCCCCCCCCCCTCCAATGCGCCCTTTCCAGGAACCTTGCGGACTGAACGAACCCACCCTAAAAGCCCAAGGGTCCATGTACCTATGATTCTATACCTCGGGGAGTACATGAACCCTGAAAGGGTTCTTGGCCATGGCATAGGGCATATGACCCCAATTGCAATTGTCACTTGGTCTCCAAGGAAGTAGACACATGGGCCTTCGAGGAGTTTGTATGTAGTAGCTTTAGGGTCCAAGTATAGGTACATCAGCAGGCAAGGGTGTTGTGGTCCATATTGTAGGGAAAGTATAGAAGTATACGGCATATGACCCCAACTATGAGGTTCATGTGGTCCGCAAGGAAGAGAACGGCGAAGAGCCAGCCAAGCCGAAGGACGGTGGGTATCCCTCCGCGCCCTCGGAGGCCAGCACATTTAGGGTTTAGGGCAATTTAAGGTTTAGGGTTTAGGGCTTAGGGTAATTTAAGGGCTTCTGCTTTAGTGTTTAGGGTTTAGGGTTCCCTCTTGGTTTTGGTACATTTTGGGGCTTAGGGCAATTTAAGGTTGAGGATTCAGGGTTTAGGGTAATTCAGTGTTCAGGGTGTAGGGTTCCTGGATTCAGGGGCTTGGGGCGTTGGGGTCAGTGCCCACCAAACATACATGTCCGTGACTGTCTAGTGAAGCATCGTTTGACTCTTGACATTCCTCACCTTGATGTCGCTCTCATTACTGTTGAATCGTAAGGGATGAGGCCGTTTAATATCGGCCGAAGGAGGCTTGGCTGTTTGGGGCGGGGTGGGGGGCATGCTCTCCAAGGATGAAGAGCTTAGCAGCTGATGTTCATGATGCGCTTGAAAACTGCTTTGCAGCTGGTGCTCGTGATGCTCGCCGCCCGCGTGTGGCTTGGAATGGGCTTGGAGGCTGAAGCTCCTATGTGGCCTGGCAAGGGCGTTGCAGCTGATGCTCATGATGAAACGGCTGTTTTGCTCGCCACTCTTGTGTGACTTGAGAAGGGTGATGTAGCTGATATGATGTTGCACACCCCTGGGTGGCTTGGAAAGGGCTCTGCAGCTGGTGCTCATGATGCTCCTGCTGATGCCCATGATGCTCCCCCACCTTTACTGCAGCTGTGTATCTGATGCTCATGATGCTCACGACACTTGTGAAGCTTAGGCAGGGTGTACCTCAGGGGTACGATTCCTGGATCTTCAACGTGTTGTGAGCTCACGCCTTCAAGAGTAGGGCTCATTCTTAGGGTTCATGGTTTGCGGCCCTTCGAGGGCTCGATTTCTTGATAAGGGCTGGGAAACTCGTAGGTGCAGCCTGCACCATGGGCAGTAGCCAGAAGAGACTAAATGAGGGCCGCTACCAGATCCTTAGAATCTCCCTAAACATCAGATCCCCGGCAAGTGAAACTGGCAGCCCTGAAAGGCAAAGGTCCAAAAGGCATCAGACATTTTTTTTCGGGCCTTCAGCCCGAAACCCTAAACCCCAAACCCTGAACCCTAAATCCCCCGGAGCCCCGTAAACCCTGGAAAAAACACACACACACACACACAGACACACCCGCCCACCCCCCTTCAAGAAACCCTCATCGACAGAGGCGCCGAAGGAAGCAGCGAAGGAACCAGTGGCCACCTGCCTCTTCAAGCCCCATGCCGCCCGGCTTCACGAACCCTACTTGGAGGTTCATGAGACTTATTAGCCAACTAAAACTGCACTTCTAACCACATAGTAGGGCACTTAAGGGGCTCACAAGTGGGCTAGAAGTACAGTGATAACTGGTGAATAAGTACCATGGACCTCCAAGTAAGGGTCCATGTACCTACATAGTGTAGACTTGGGCCTTCTAAAGGGGGTCCCTACGTAGTAGCTTCAGGGTTCAAGCATTTGCTATGTGCGTACATGGGCCCTTAGGGTAATTGGACCCCGTTTGGCAGGTTTGGGGTTCATCTGGGGTTTCGAGTTTCGGGTATTAGGGTTTAGGGTTGAAGATGTTGGAGTTTTGCTGGATCTTTGCTAAGAGACCCGACCTCCGTACCCAAAGGGGTTCCCGTTCAGTTCGTCTTGGGGATTAGGGTTTAGGGTTTAGGGCTTCCAGCATCTGATTAGGGTTCTTTTAGGGATTCTAGTGACATAGGGAGTTCGCTCCCACTTATACGCTTCCAGTCAGTGCGACCGACTAGGGTTTCGGGCCTTGCGGGCTCAGGGTTTAGGGTTTAGGGCAGTCCCCTAAGCCAAAAAAAAACCAAAACCCTAAAACCCCCCAAAGTGGTTTTTATGGTGAAGGAACCCCGATTTCTAAGAGGCACTTTTCGAGACAAGGTCAGAGTTTCAAGCCATGAGCTGTGCAAGCTTCGCCACAGGCCTGCAGCAGGAAAGGAATCTTAAAGTACGCGAGACCCATTGTATGGGTATATGGTCAATATATGGGGGTGTACGAATATAGGGGACCCCGAAAGTGTCCCGCGCAAATAGTAGGATTCCCTCACGATAAGGACCCCAATAAGGTACCCCGAATATCGGAAACCACCATGGGTAACAAGAAAGGGGGCACCATTTTTGCAATGTGGTATTCTGGGCTACCAAGTACTGTAAGTTCCTGAGGAGCAGCCCAGACGCACGCCACCTTTCCTAAGGACTCCTACCCAGCGATGGAGACCGCTGTGGACGTGTCCCCCAGATGAGTTGCGGACCTCCAAACCCGAAGCCCCAGACCGAAAACCTCAACCCAAGAACCCGCAAAATCTAAACCTTAAAGTGGACACCCTAAACCCTCAACCCCCGAAGTCCCACACCCCAAGCCCTAAACCCAAGAACCTACACAGACAAGTTGACCAGCAAACCCCCACGTCGTGCTTTAGGGTTTACAGGGTTTTCGGGCTTTTGGGTGTGTAGGGTTTTAGGGTTTCGGTGTTAGAGGGTTCAGGATTTTTCAGGTTTTTTGGGCGCTGAGGGTTATAAGGGCTTTAGGGTTTTTAGGGTTTGGGATGTTAGGGTTTTGACTTATTAATGTCTCCAACCACACAGAAGATTCATGTTTGCCCATGTTTAGGGCCTTTTAGGGTTTTGACGGTTTAGGGTTTTAGGGTTTAAGGGTTTCAGGGTCTTAAGCAAAAGGGTTTTAGGGTCTTATATAATTTGGTTTAGGGTTTTGGGGGTCTTAGGGTTAGGGGTTTACGGGTCTGAGGGTTAACCCTCAACATTCAGGGTTTTCAATGATACGGAGCCAGAGAAAATGTGAAGCAACAAAAATCACGCACAACAGCAATCAGGGGTCTGGGCAGGATTCTTAAGGTCTAGGCCTAAACCCTAAACCCTAAACCCTAAACCCCAAACCCTAAACCCTAAGCGACCTCTCAAAAAGGGTAAGTACATGTATGCCCCCTTAGCATCCTAAAGGGCTTCTGACGTCTGGGCCCTTGGGTTTTATAGGGGTATGTAAGGGTTTAGGGTTTAGGGTTTAGGGTTTAGGGTTTTAGGGTTTTAGGGTTTTAGGGTTTTAGGGTTTAGGATAGAAAAGGCGTCCCCATTCAAGAAATTGTAAGGGCCCTGGTTACTACTCCGAGGGTCTCTCCCAAAAGCAGTCTCGGGGATGCCCCGAATTCCTGAAAGTTTCGGGTTTAGGGTTTAGGGTTTAGGGTTTAGGGTTTTAGGGTTTAACCCTCACTACTTGGAGGTTCATGGTACATATTAACCATTTATAACTGTACTTATAGCCATAACTTAAGGTGCTTGTGAGCGGGCTGATAAGTACAGTTATGATTGCTTAACAAGTACCATGAATCTCCAAGTACCCCCAAGCCGCCATCCGCAGTCCCGTGAAACCCTTCGCTCCCGTGCCCGTGGGAGCATGGCACAAACCATGAAACCCCTAAACCCTGAATCCTTAGTAGTAGAGTCGGCAACCTTTAACCTTTTTGGGGCAATAGAATCCCCTTATAAACCCAAAGGTTAACCTTTAGTCCCCCTAGGGCCCCTAGGTACTGGACAGCTTAGAACCCTAAGTTACTAAGCCTCAACCAAAGGTCAGTCCAACGTTGAGGCTGGCCTCACATGAAGCTTGTTGGGTTAAGGCTTTAGGGCTCGAAAGGAGCCACCCCTAAACAGTAAGGGTTTAGGGATAGGGTTTAGGCCTTAAACACGAAGGAAAAAAAAGGGTTTCACCCTAAAACCTGGTGCAAAGAGGGGCCTTATAGGGCTTACCACCCCTAAACAGTAAGTAAGGGTTTAGGGTTAGGGTTTAGGGCTTAACCACAGGAGCCCTGAAGGTGGGGCTTTACCGCCCCAACAATGGCAACCGGGAGTCCCTGAGGCTGTACTGTCCAGTCTGCGGCCTTCCCCCAGACTTCTGCCAGCAGGGGGCCTTAGCTAGGGTTTGGGGTTTTGGGTTCAGGGTTCAGGGTTTAGGGTTTAGGGTTTAGGGTTTAGTGTCTGGGGAAGGTTGATCGAAGGGCTTCAGAAGTTTGGGTTCCGCGTGGTGGGAAGCGGTTGGAATATTTCCAGCATCTGACTTGGAAGCATTGTGGGCAGGTATCGCACGGCTTCTTAAAATGCTTAAGCTGAGGCACAAGTCCTCCTTGGAGGTTCAATGGTTATCTACATCTGCGTAGAACCTACTTAGAGGACTTTGGGGGCTTTTCAGTACTGTTATAATTGGGGTTTTAAGTATCCATGAACCTCTAAGTACGCAGCTCAAGCCCTATACCCTGAACCCAATGCAGTGGCTAGGCGAACGGCAAAAAGCCAGAATCGAACCCATCCGTAGACGCCAATGAAGACGTAAACCCGGTCTGTTCTCTAAGTTACGGTACCTAAAATAGAGGCGCTGGCCGCCTTGGATAGTCCAGCGGCTGCCAGCCTCTCTGTCCCACGCCCGTTGAAGTACGTGACGGCCGTAGATATCATGCAGGGTGGCCCCCCAAACCCAAAGATCAGGTCAAAAATTGCGCGAGCACCTCGTGGATGCTGGCCCAGGCACAGGAACCGCCCGGTGATAACATGGAACCCACAGGCCCACAGGTGGCGCTCGCCTTGCCCGGCCACTAGCACACTGTCCGGCCTTCGCTTGGGTCATTCCTTTCCGGCTTCTCCTTGGGGTTCAAGCAGTCCCTTGCTGCACAGCGCAAAGGCTCGTGCTACGCTTGTGCTCTCTCCAGGGGCAGCCTTGTGGCAGATTTTGCCCTGTGCGTTTTCGTGTGTGCGGCCTGTTCTGTATGCCTGCAGTCGGACAGGGCTTTCTTCTGGACTGTGTTGGGTAGGCCGCCTTCGCCCCATACCAGGTGTTGGGCATCTTGCATACCTGAAGGAGGCTTACTTGGACGTTGGGATGATGAGATGGAGCCTGATGGGGCCATTGCGGTCATTGTTTTCTCGCCCAGCCATACCCTACGGCTGGCCAGTCTTGGTATGTTGACATCGTTGGTTTTGCTTTTAAAAAAACGCATGCCGTAAGGACCCCAAGCCTACTTTTTTGTAGGTTCTCATTCTAAATGCTTTTTGTAGGATTCTTGGGGAACCTACAAAGAAGGTTTTGGGTTCTGAAGCTAGGGGCCATCTGGTGTGGGCCATTTGCGTTTCCCCTGTGTCCGTCGGATAGTTCCTCCGTACCTGGTGGGCCCGGAGGTCCGAACCCCCCTGAGATCGTAAGGGAAGTTACATGGTCCCTTAATATGACCCTTACCTTTAAAGGGTTCTGAAGCATGGGCAATTGGGTTTTATAGTTTATATCAGGGGCATAAACGGGTTCTCCGATAACGGGCCCAGAATAAGAGACCATGTAACTACCCTGAAGGAGCTAGCTAGTGGCTCTGTTTTGCTTTTGGCGCAGATTTCAGTTAAAGCCAGTAAACCCGAAACCCCTGAGAGAGAACAGGGTTAAACCCAAAACCCCTAAGAGAGAACAGGGTAAACCCGAAACCCCCTAAGAGAGAACAGGGCTTCCGTCGTCTGAGGTATGGTCCCAGCTGGGAGAAGTGCAAACCTTGGTGTATAGAGACGCTCCGCTGGGTTTAGGGTTTAGGGTTTAGGGTTTAGGGTTTAGGGTTTAGGGTTTAGGGTTTAGGGTTTAGGGTTTAGGGTTTAGGGTTTAGGGTTTAGGGTTTAGGGTGGCTGCTCGGCACGTTGGAGACCTTGAGCGCAGAGGGCGGCTGTCAGAGGTTGAAGGGGCTTCCGAGTCAAGGGTTGCAAGGTTTCAGGGTTGCGGTAGCATTTCCCCCTAGTCCTAAACCCCTCGGTAGGCCATTGGGACATTCTTCTCTTTTTGCCCCTATTTGGGTGCAAGAAGATCATGTTCAGGAATGTTCTTCAGAGGGTTTCAGGGGCCATCTTCGACCCTGTAGAGCCTCAACATCAAACCCCTGACTTGTCTGGGAACCCATCCCCATGAGCTTTTTAAGGTTCGGGTTTAGGGTTTAGGTTTTAGAACGGTTTAGGGTTCACTGCCTCATGGTGAACTGCTTGGAGGTTCATGACCTGAGCTGTTGCATCCTACACCCTGAACCCTGACAGTCGGAAGTCGCACATGTAACATCATCCATAAACCCCCAAACCCTAAACCCGGCGAGAATGACGCTACACGAACACCAAAGCTGAAAATACGCCCAGAACCCTAAACACCCTAAACTCCAAATCCCAAAGCCTAAACCTCGCCCGCTTTTGGCACAGTGAGAGTCGAATTCCTGAACCCTGTAAGCCCTAAACACTATAAGCCCTAAACCCTAAACCCCACAAGCCCTTGGAGATACTGTTGGGCGCAGGGTCTGTGGTATAGTTTGTGAGTTTGGGATGTTCCCCCTTATGCTAACAGTCCTTAGTCGGATGATAATAGGGGGCACTATAATCCTTATTCAGTAGAATCCCTATTAAGGACTGCCAGTATGAGGGGGAAACATCACAAGGTAGAGTCGAGCGGAGCCTTAAAACAAAGGCGCCCTACACACTTCACGGTCCCTAAACCCTACATTGACCCCGAACCCTAAGGGCCTAAAGGCCACATAAATAGGCATTACTTGGGCCTTCAAGGGCCCTCCCTTTTTTGGGACTTTAGGGTCCAAGGACATAAGAATGAGGCACATGGACCCTAAACCCTAAGCCCAGGAACGTTCCGCACTACTATCCGGAACTGTCCGGCGTCTCCCTGGAAGACGCCAAGAAGAAAGCCGAGGCCAGGTACGGAAAAGGCTTTTGACTCGTCATGACTCGTCAAAGTTTCGTCGGCTCCAAGACTTCTACCCTACTTGGAGGTACATGGGTAGTTTATTCAGTACGGTTATCAGTATGGTAGCTATACTTATAACCCTAAACCCTAAACCCTAAACCCTAAACCCTAAACCCTAAACCCTACTTATAGCTCCTCCAAGTAAACCTCAGTCCGTAACGGTCCTTGGGCTTTCTGAGCTGCCAAATGCGCAGCGCGTAGCATCAGGTGTTGAAGGCCCAGACGTCCCCACCCACCCCCTCAATGCACTCATCATGTGATTTTGGCCTTTTTCAGATACCATATTCTATGTATATATTTCTATGTACATATATAGCCGGATGTTATAAGGTACTATAACACTTGGACGTTTTACGCGTAGAAGACATGGTTCGTTTGCCCGCGGAAGTTACAAGGCTCATTATAAGGTACTTGACTAATTCCTTCATCTCCAGTACCGGCCGCTTCACGCTGCCGAGTGTTTGTTTAGGGTTCATAGGGTTTATAGGCTTTATAGGGTTTACAGGGTTTACAGAGTTTGGAGGGTTTATAAGGGTTTATGGGTTTTTTCGGGGTTTCTAGGGTTTCTAGGGTCTAGGGTTTAAGTTGCGTACAGGTTTCTCTTTCGGGCCTTGCGGGGGCGGGTCGAGCGCTGGCGCTCCCGACCAGGAGCTCAATGCAAAGGGAAAGGAGAAGCTCCTACCCGGCGGAAAGGTGAAGCGACTCTCGGCTCCATCCCTAAACCCTAAACCTTGAACCCTAAACCCTAAACCCTAAACCCTAAACCCTAAACCCTAACCCCCCAAGGGGGGCGCAAAAGGCTCGAGGATCAGGAAGCGGCTGCGATATGTTGGGCCTTCGAGCCGCTTCAAGGACTTGGTGCTTGTAGGTTCTTCACCAGCCAATGGGTTCACGCAGAAAAAGGCATAGGGGTTAGAGTTTAGGATAATGGGTAATGGGCGTTGAGTTTTGAGAGCAATGTCTTAATCATGCAAGGGTCGGTCATCCCAGCTGCCCACCCTTGAAACCTTTGGGACTACTTTCACCCTGAACGGTAAACGGTAGGCTAGGGACAATCCTAATGCTATTTGAGGGCTTCATTTCGAACATTTTGGAACCTGGGCACAAGGCTTCATGTGCCATTTATACCCTACACCCTACTCCCCTGTGACTGGATGAACCCCAAAAGGGTTTATGGTCCATTTACCTCAAGAGGGAGTATCCTGGCATAGGGTATATGACCCCATTTTTAGGGACCTGTGCGCGCTCGGAATTAGGGCTGGCGGCACGTAAGAACCATTTCACTGGACTTCCAGTCTGGCACCCCGAAAAGGTGAACCCTAAGCCGATAGGGTTCAGGGTTTAGGGTTTAGGGCTTAGGGCTTAGGGCTTAGGGCTTAGGGCTTAGGGCCTAGGGCCTAGGGCCTAGGGCCTTAGGGTTTAGGGTTTAGGGTTTAGGGGCAAAGGGTGCTTCAGGGTCTTAGCAACTTAACATCAACTCAATAAAACTACCTCGACACAGAAACCGGGCGCCCAGGAGAAAAGTCCCCTCGCGCGCTGACCTCGGCTTGTGGGCCAGAACACCCCTAAACCCTAAACCCCAAACCATCGTAAGCCCTAATTAAGACCCAAGTTGCTTTCGTGGGTTTTGAGATATGGTATGAAATAAGCTGAGTTTGCATGTGCTTCTTTTTGTTATTTTCGCGGCGCCAGTTCGTACGACAGCTTGTTCAGTGGGGGAGGGTCTCGACACTCATTCAAACCTCGAAAACCACAGTTTAGGCTAAGAAACTAGACGACCTTCAACTGCATGCAAGTCCTTTTTACATACTGAAGAAGAGCTTAATTAGTGGCCCAGTGGTACCCTTTACCCTTCTTTTGGTTATCCCAAAAAAGGGTGCCGTTATTATAATATGATATGGTTACTGGGCTACTAAGAGAGAGGCAGCATCAACACCTTAAAACGAAAGACTCACCTTTCGGAGGGCTTGGTCAAGAAGTTTAGGGTTTTAGGGTTTTAGGGTGTTAGGGCTTTAGGGTTTAGGGCACAGATTTGCGGTTTAGGGTTTAGGGTTTAGGGCTTACAGGCTCTCCACAGGTAACGCTAGCATGAGGTATCTAGTATCCTGTAGAATCCCTGCAAAGGTTATAGGGGGCTGCCTATATCAGGTACCTAATTCCCCAATTCCCTACTTAAACCCTAAACCCCAAAACCCCGAAACCCTAAACCCTAAACCGTACACCCTAAACCCTAAACCCTAAACACCAAGCCTTTTTTAGAATTGAAGCCCCAAACCCTCTACACCCTGAACCCAGTAGGCTGGAGCCCAGGTCAACATCAGAAAGCTCAGCCGCGGTGGGCGAAAGTGTGCGACCGCCTCGGCAGCTTGTGGTTTCTGCCGGCTTTACAATATTATAGAGTTTAGGGTTTTAGGGTTCAGGGTTTATAGGGTTTATAGGGTTTCGGGTTTAGGGGTTTCCGAAAACAGCGGGGACCTTATTGGGGTCCTATTCGTAGGGCCACCCCGCCAGTTTCAGGGCTTTTCGGAAATTCCAGAGGTCTTGAGAGCCATAAAAAGGTCTCTCGTTGAGTGTAGGGTCCCCCCTAATTAAACCCTAAACCCTATATAAACCCTATAAACCCTAAACCCTAAGCCTAAGTATGGGCCCTTCACTTGGGTCAAATGAAAGCACCCTCATACACACCATACATCATAAGGGCCCGTACTTCGAACCCCTATAAAAACCAAGGGTTTAGGGTTTAGGGTCTAGGGTTTAGGGTTTAGGGTTTAGGGTTTAGGGTTTAGGGTTTAGGGTTTAGGGTTTAGGGTAAAGGACCATACCAAGGGCCATGGTTCCAACCTTAGCTTAAGTGGTCCCTAAAACGCAACTTTCTAACCCCTAAACATTCATGGGGTTCAGTTCGTAGAGGGTTTGAGGGTTTGAGGGTTTCAAGGTTTCAGGGTTTAGGGGGGTTTAGGGTGTCACTCCCCAAACCCTACTCAACCCTGCAGACGGAAGTGCGGCGAGCCCATGGTTCGGTTTCCCGGCTTCGCATGCCGCGGACGCGCAGAATCCCCCGAACTCCCATGCCGTTCCTTGCAAAAACTACCGCAAATGAACCCCTATAAGTTATAAAGACTTCATGATTCATATGCCATCGGTATACCCTAGTAGGGACTGTAGCAGAAGAGGGTACATGATACGCTATAGTATGGGGACTATAGCAGTGGAGGTGTACATAGCACACGATCCTTGCTTCAGGGGTGGCCTGGCCCCCAAACCCGTGCATTGCACCGCAGGTCACTAGCGTTGCTGGACTCGATATGTTCGGGATCAAGTTGGATGATGTGGCGCAGCCCGGCTATGGTTCACTCAGGCTACCCAAAGGCTCCTAGGTAGTACCAGCAGTATACTAAAATCCTCTAGAACTAGCCGAAAAACAAACTACATTGGAGCCTTCAGGTAGCTTCCGAGACTTCTGTACCCAAAGGCTCCCATGTGGTACCTTTTCGGGTAGCCTAGAACTAACCCTTAAAAGGAACTACGTTGGAGCCTTTGGGTAGCTTCTGAGAACCCTTATAAGCCCTAGGCCCTAAACCTGGTGAGGGCTGTCGCCCAGGGCTTCCATGACCCCCCGCCTCCCGCAACCCAAATAAGTCGGGCCACTGGAGTGACTCAGCTCAGCTTTAAGTGGAGGCTTTGGAGTGTTAGGATGTTGAGATTCCACCCACCCCCCCTAAGGCAAGGCTAAACCCTAAACCCTAAACCCTAAACCCTAAACCCTAAACCCTAAACCCTAAACCCTAAACCCTAAACCCCCCAGGAAGCTGTTCAAGAAGAAGTTCGCCTGTGGCTGTGCAGTAGTCAAGGGCGAGAACACAGCGCCAGACACCGTCGACATACAAGGCGCCAACCCCAAAACCCTAAACCCTAGGAACCCTGACGTAGGGCTTCAGGCTTCAGAGAGGGGGGGGGGGGGTAAGGCTTGGGTGTAGGGTTGAGGGTTTAGGGTTTAGGGTTTATTGACTATGAGCCCTTTTGTTACGGTTCATGTGGTGCCGAAGGCAAGCGCTCCTCCCGGGTCTACTTTTGCCAGTCGCAAAAGATGGGTCGGCGTCCGGTTCAGACTTACTGTAGGGCAGGTTTCCAGAGGTAGGTTTGAAAACAATTATTTTTGCTGTTATTGCCCTTGTAATCCCTATAAAAATCCTTATAAAGCCATAAAGATTCATTTTTTCAGGCCCCCCAAACCTACCCCAGTTTAGGGTTTACGGTTCAGGGGCCTCAAGACGCGCGATTCTTGTCCAGGTGACTTCGAAGATGAAGTCATTGCCCCTTGGTCCAAAGTTGGGCCAAGGGTTGGGTAGTTTGGGTTTGGGTAAGGAACCCTAAAAATCCTAAACCCTGAACCCTAGACCCTAAACCCTGACTCGAGGTTTCGGACTGACAGGCTTTGTTGCATTCTGAGGTCTGGGTTCTTTTAGCGCCCTACAAATTCAAAGGCTCTGACCTAAACCGATGATTCAGGGGCGAAGGTGGTTGAGTTGGTGTGTGCGTAGATTCGTATTGAGACCGATGACAATGAGGGTTTAGGCTTTGACCCTAAACCCTAAGCCCTAAAACCTTAAGCAGCCGGCCGTCCTGAGGACATCATTGTGGCCGAGTGGAAGCAAGTCCCGCAGGACAGGCTGCATCCCACCTTGCAAAGACGTGGGGGGGGGGGGACTTAATAATCTAGGACCCAGAGTAGGCCCTTGTTTTTTTTTTTTTGGGGGGGGGTTATATTATAAGCCTTTTTAACCCAAATGCGGTCTCTTGGTCTTACATTGGACTGCAGGAGGCCCCCTCCAGAAGCACTCGTAAGATCACAGGGGACTATATTGAAGATTTACAGTGTTGCACGTAAGAAAGTCTAGAGTCTGCGGCGTGTTTGTAGAAGGAGAAGATCAGCGTGCTCGACGCGGGCAACAAGAAGAAAGGGAAAGGCACCTGTGTCCTAAGAATGGTTTAGGGAGAGCCGTGGATGTCTTTTGTATTCGCAATCAGAGGCCCTAAACCCTAAACCCTAACCCCTAACCCCTAAACCCCTAAATCCCAAACGAAGCTTCTAAAGTCACAAGGATGCCTAAGCCCATCTAGGCCGGTAGCACACGCGGAGGCCGATGAGCGGCAGACTGAGCTGACCCCTCCTCCCTTAGGGGTACTTGGAAATAGTTTTTAATTTTAGGGTTTAGGATTTAGGGTTTAGGGTTTAGGTTTCCAAGTTTAGGGTTTAGGGTTTAGGGTACTATAGCTCCTAAGAAACAGCATAAAGATTCAGTTTTGCTAGGGTTCCAAGTTCAATATAGCTCCGCTCAAGGAGATTTGCAGCCACTTTGTGGGGCCCCGGTTGCCGACATCGAAACGAATCCCCCTTCCCCCTTCATTACCGAAAAAATGCAAGTAGCCCCCTACTAGTAGTGAAATATGTGCTCTTGATCATTCCCGCACGGTCGGTATGTTTGTTGGAGTTCTGCCCACTTTTCGTAGGAGGTGATTAAAACAAGACAGCTGCGAAGGGGGCCGGGGCCCCACTTTGTACAGGCTGTGCATGAATCTATATCCTTTCCTCGGCCCCTCTCTTTGCAGGGTGTAGGGTTTATAGGGTTTATAGGGTTTAGGGTTTAGGGTTGCAGTAGCTTCACGTAGGGGTATATAAGGGGTCCCCTTTCAAGGGCCCTTTATTAAGGGACCATGTAACTACCCTTAGGGAGGTCAACTGTCATACGACTGTGCCCACCCACATGATGCCTCGAAGTCCACCCCACCCAAGAGAGAACTGTAACTGGGGGATTGGGTTTAAGGTTTAGGGTTTAGGGTGTAGGGTTTAGGGTTGAAGGTTTAGGGTTTTGGGTTTAGGGTTTGGGGGATTAGGTTGTCGGCTGTGAGAGTCGTTGGCCGGACGCTAGACGAGTGCGTGGGGGGTCGATCTCAGTAGGGCTTCAATTCTTCTGGGGCAAGGGGGCTTCCTTCAGAGTACCCCAAAACCCTATACCCTATAAGTGCTAGACCGCTAAACCCTTGTGAGTCTTCTTTTGCGTGCTACGTAAAGATAACCCTAAACCCTAAATCCCAAACCCTAAGCCCTAAACCCTAAACCCTAGGCGAGAACAACCCCTGTGCATTTCGCTGCTGGTGAGACGTCGCCGGCCGGACCGTGGAAAATAAGAGCGAAACCCCGTGCATTGGTCCTCGCAGGAACGGGTTTAGGGTTTAGGGTTTACGGGTTTGGGTTTAGGGTTTATTAGGGACTTACATGACCCCAGTTATAACTTTGCACATAAGGCCCCTAGGCAGGTTATAAGTAGACTTGTAGTTGGGGGTTATAAGTACCCATGAACCTCCAAGCATAAGCTGGAGAACCAGGCCCACTAGTCTGAATAATGTCATGCTTTGTCATGGGCTACTGATGGGTTTAGGGTTCAGGGTCTAGGGTTACCACGACCGTTGCTTTCAGCACTTGGAAATATGCGGGCTCAGGCAGCTGGCTGGGGCCGAGCATGTTCTGACGCAGCTGCTACTATCCCTAAACCCTAAACCGCCTAAACCCTAAAGCCTTAACCCTAAACGATTGTCTACAGTATGTTGTTACGATGAGACGAACATTCCTGTTTTCGAACCCCGGGGCTTCTTTCCCTGAAGCCCCAAGCCGCTCATACCCAGGTCCTTTATCCCCCCTAAGGTACATGAACCAAAAACACACTTGGGAACCCCGAAACCCCATAGCCCTTAAACCCCGAAAATCCCTAAACTCCCTAAACATCTCTCAACAACAACTCAAGATTGGACCCGAAACACCCCAAGAAGCCCAAAAAACCCAGGACATACGGACCGGAAAAAACCCAAAAGAAAACCATGTTTGGGCTCCCCTCAAAAACCCGAAACATCCCACAACCCCAATGAAACTCAAGGCATACGAACCACGAAACACCATGTTGGGCCACCCTCAAAACGCCCTCCCCAACCTCCCCGTCCATTCTCACCCCCCCCTGGGGGCGAAGGCGCCGGAGCCTCGCCAGCCCGGAGCTCAGAGTTTAGGGTTTAGGGTTTAGGGTTTAGGGTTTAGGGTTTAGGGTTTAGGGTTTAGGGTTTAGGGTTGAGGTATCAGCTGCCTTGTTGCCGCCCTAAACCCTAAACCGAAGGCCTAAACCCTCAACCCTCAACCCTGAACCCCAAACCGCGAGATTAGATAGCAGGTTGTCGGTGGGGTTTTGCTATACGTACCCTGAGTAAGTTCTGTGCTCCCTACTTTTCACCCGATGGTTAACACATTTTACCAAGCCCCCCGGGTCGTTAACTAGGCCTAAACCATAATCTTATTCGTAACTCTGTAGGTGCCTTTGCTGTGCGCCCCATCAGGGCAGTGCATTTGCAGCTTATAAGGGTAAGGGCAGGTGGGTGCAACCCCTAAAACCTACATATAGCTGTAAAACAAGGAACACTTGCGGCCCGAACCCCCAAGCCCACAACCACAATCCTCAGAACCTCCAAACCCTAAACCCTAAACCCTAAACCCTAAACCCTAAACCCTGAACCTGCCAGCTTCGAAGACTCTAATTCCGTCTTCCATCCCTCAGTTCGATGGTCTCCTTGTGCTGGATTGCGATCGCCGTATAGGGTTGACGAACATCAGGCCCTAAACCCTAACCCTAAACCCTAAACCTCTAAACCCTAAACCCAGGGACTCCCTGATGATGAGAACCCCAGTAAGTTACTCCTAATGTCGGAAGAGCCCCATCCCCCCCCCCCCCCCCCCCATATAGGGAGATTGCCCAAATTAGGGGTACTCCGAATTTACCCCGAAAGACTATAGTCCTTAATTTTGGGAACACCCAAAATGGGTACCCCTATTTTCGGAAACCCCTATGTTGGTATAAACCGAGAACATCATTGAAGATGAGCACCAATATGGCCTCCTTAAGAACCCCAAGCCTACCTTTTCTGTTGAAGGCTCTTCTCATCGAAACCCCTTATAGGATTCCTGTGTAACCTACAACAAAAAGCCCCCTAAAGCCTAAACCCTAAACCAAGGGCATTGTGTGTGTGTTTTTTTTTTTTTTGGCGGCGGGGGGGGGGGGGGGGGGTAAAGGCTTTCCACACAAAGCAGTTGCAGATTCCCTGGTGCCCGGGCAGCTTGTCGCCACTTTCGGCTTTGGATTTGGGAGGCACCTAGGGTTTATAAGGGCGGCCCATCGCAACATACAGCAAGCCTTGGATGGAAATGGATATATATATATATATATATACATATATATGTATATGTATATGTATATGTATATGTATCTATATATATATATATATATATATATATAGGTACCCCTAAACCCTAATTAGACCCCAAACCCGAAACGCCACGTAAAGCTAGTCGGAGCAGACCTGGAAAGTATTCTTTGGCCGATTCCCAAAAGGGTCCATGTACCCATCTAGTATATACTTGGGCCTTAAGGGGTTGCTATACAGTAGCCTTAGGGCACAAATATGTTCTATATGGGTACATGGACCCTTAGGGATTGAGACATGCCCTCTGGCGATTGGGTTGGCGGCTCCTTCGGCAAGTTCCCGCCACGCCTCCGCGGTTTCGGGTTTAGGAGATTGCTTTTTGCTGCTTCGGGTTCAGGGTTCAGGGTTTAGGGTTAGGGTTTAGGGTTTAGGGTTTAGGGTTCAGGGTTCAGGGTTTAGGGTTTAGGGTTTAAGGTTTAGGGTTAGGGTTTAAAAGTTTAGGGTTTAGGGTTTAGGGTGAGACGTCGTTGCAAAAGGGCTTCGGGTTTAGGGCTTAAGGGGGGGCAGGGGGGTGGGGGACGTCTGATATTCGTCTTCAACCTTGGCTGTCTCGAATGAAGCCGGGCTTTAACCCTAGACAGCTTTCTGGGAGGACTCATCAGTTGGTTTTGAAGTGTACTTCCCAAAACAGGGGTTACCCCTTTTGTACCCAAAATCGAATAGGATCCGCTTAAACGAACCCCCCCAAAAAGGGTACCCTATTTTTGGGCAACAGCCATATTAAGGATCCTTTTCTGAAAATCAGGTCTATTCTTTAGTTCAGGGGTGTTGGGCTCTTGGGCAAGAGAGAAGCGCTGGGCGTGGATGATCGCGGTGTTCGCCGAAAACAAGAGCGCGAGAGGGAGGGAGGGAGGGAGAGGGAGAGTGAGTGAGCGGTGGGAAAGAAGAAGAACTCAGGCGACAACAGACAGAGCGAAGAAGGGGCGAAACGCGAGAGAGCAATTCCACTGCTGCTGCCCCAGGAGGCCCTGGACCCTCCCACTTGGAGGTTCATGGTACTTTTTAACCAAATATAACTGTACTTCTATCTGTACTTGTAACCATATTAGGGCACATAAGGGTTTTATAAGTGGGTTATAAGTGAAGTTAGCATTGGTTAATCAGTACCATGAACCTCCAAGCAAGAGCATGTCTTTTTCGGATTTTCTGGGGATTGCCCTAAACCCTAAACACTAAACCCTAAACTCTAAACCCTAAACCCTACACCCTAAACCCTACACCCTAAACCCTAAACCCTAAACCCTAAACCCTAAACCCTACAGGCTTTCAGGGTTAGGGCTGCTCAATGGTATCAAAACCCCCTGCACGCGGATGCCAAGGAACCCACCACTATTGGCAGCAGCCACCGCGCTTGCCGCAGCGATCCACCACCAGGCGGTTTAGGGTTTAGGGTTTAGGGTTTAGGGTTTAGGGGTTAGGGGTTAGGGGTTAGGGTTTGGGGTTTGGGGTTGAGGGTTTAGGGGTTAGGGTTCGGGGTTTGGGGTTTAGGGTTTAGGGGTTAGGGTTTGGGGTTCAGGGTTTAGGGTCTAGGGTTTAGGGGCCGGTCTCAGAAGAATGTAGCTATAGGGCTTGGAAGGTTTCTTGGGATTGGGGGTCTTAGGGTTTATAGGGTTTAGGGCTTAGAAGGTGCTTGGGGATGAGGGGTTTGGGTTGTGGGCTTAGGGCTTTTACGTTTTTTGGGGAAGTGGGGGTTACGCTGCGCAGTCAGTGCATTTAAACAGGGTTTCAATGAACCCAAACAATTGGATCCTGTACCCCATGCTACAGCCTCCATGGACCATAATCCTACTGCCAGCCTTCGTAGGATGATCCGGTCCACATCGAAGTGGCCCAACCCTTTACCCTCA